ATAATCTTACAAACATTGAATTACAATATATTTGTTCACTTTTCACAACAAGTGGAAACTCTTTTTTTCTTGTTAGTGTAGGGACTTGTGGAGATTGTAATATTTTAACGGTTGAGTTAACAAGTCAATATAAGCTAGAAAACCAGTGAAAACCTGAAAGCACCGGAATGCTGTTTCGTCCTAGTATGGGACTCCTTAGAGGTGCGCATCTACGATCCTGCATGCGTGACCAGTTGCGTTCAGTCAGTGTCGAGGGTGAAACGGTTATCCACCCCCTTCACTGTGTGAAGGGATGGGCATGATCATGGACCGATTGGAGTTAGACATTAGAACCATTGGATGTCGGATCAGTAATCTAGAGGCTAAGCATTCGTGTACGAGACCGAAGGTCCTGAGTTCGAGTCACTTAGGTGCAGGGTCGTGGACGCACTCTGCTGATTAATCCCATAGAAGGACGAAAAGGTCGTCCATTGCTTTCAGGTTTTCGATGGTGACCTAGTTTAGGTTGACCCGTGAGTTTTGTTTCTGCTTTATTGATTTTCATATTACTGAGGTGATATACTGATCTACTTCAATTAAGCAACAAATTTAATTTAGGTTTACAATTAACAGACACAACTTTGTTCACTTTTCATATTACGTTGTCAGTAAAAGAAATAATTTTAGGGTAGAAACTAATATCATATAAGTCTAGTCCCTATAATAAAACAATAAAAGTTTAGTGTGAACATTGGTCTGAGTAACCTGACCAAGCATGCACAATATTTTGATGTTATGTAGATGAGGGTATGCGAAAGGATACTCTAGACCTTCATATATAAGACTATGAAGCTGAATGACGTAGATTCAAGTCCTACACGGAGCATTGATTCCCTCATTACTGTAGATACAATTCGCTAATAAGTGCTAACTAATATGGAACTTCAATGCACAGTTTCCTTCAGACTAACTACAATCACCTAGCAGAAGAAGTGTAATAATTTAAATCGATTTACTTTATTGTTTCATGAACTAGGAAAACTAAATATAATACTTCACTTCTCCCAAAAGCAATGAAGGTCATAGGGATGATCTACTCAGTTGCTGAAATTTGGTGAAAGGGGTTAGCATTAATTTGAACAATAAATCTTTTTTTAAAGTAAAAATCCGGTTTTAAAACTTTTCTGTATTTTTAGTAGTTAAAATCATGAGTCAATTAAAGCTAGACCACCATGGAAAACCTGGAAGCAATGGACGGCCGATTCGTCCTACTGTGTAACTCCTAAGCAGTACGCATCCACAATTCCGCCTCGCGAGATTCAAACCCAAGATCTATCAGTTTCGCGCGCAACCGCTTGACCTTTAGACCACTGACCCGGTCAGGCATCCAACGGTGTTAATGTCTAATTTCAACTGTATTTACTATTTTGATTGAGATTTTTGATGTAAATAAATTTAAGACAAAAGTCAAAACAAGTATTTGTGGTTATTGAGTTGAAATACTTTCGACAGATAGTACGTTATCTTCGTTGTACTATTTAGCAGCTAACTTCTATCTGTTCTTTGATTATGAAGTAAAATCACTGATTGATCGAACAATATACTGGACTTCCCTACTTGAATACTTCGTTCATTGCATTGGTACTGTTATTGCTTTATGTGTTTTCTTTCACTAGTTTTTTTCCATCCTCAGATGTCATTACAAAATGTTGTGACAGTCCAAAACTTGTTCAATAAATCTTTTTTCATTTTCTGTTGCCCTGGAAGATTGTAATGGAAATAATTTCTTTTGATCAGGTTATAGAGTAGATCAAAAAGATATTAATAACTGTCCATGTTAACTAATAAGAAAGTTTAATGTCAGCTGAAAGGATTAAATTTTAATAAACATTTCTGGTTAACGCCTTTTCAACCACACCTAGGTGTGGTTAAAACGAAACTGAAATAAGAATATCAGTTTATAAAGTTTAGTTTAAGATATTTAGGGAAGTATTTACATTTATGCTGGGATCTTAATGAAATTAAAAGTTAATGACCAGAAACTTTAATTAAAATCAATAAACGTAGATACCTTACATGAGCATATTCTTTAGTTTTATACTGAATTTCAATAAAGATGAATGAGTTCATGTTCACTCTGTGACTTGAACCGAGTACCGATCACGTCGAACGCTATCGTGTTATCCATTAAACTACTGAGTCCCGAGAGCCACTTGCTTGTGCAATCAGGTGAAGTTTATATTCATTTGATATTATTTGTTTGAATCCTTTCATTTTTATTTAGAACTGTAATTGATCAGTCAGCCACTTATTGGCATATTTGTATCCTGTGCAGACTGCCTTGATAATGTTTTAGTTCATAATCATTATAAACAAATATGGATAGTGACTAGCAAAGGAATCTAAGACTGGCGTTTCATCGTATTTGGGACTCATCACCTAAATGTCGAAAGAATCAAACTAACAATACCAAATAAATCTGAATTTGAAAAGTCTTGTAACATAAGACTTCGTTTCTTTTGTATCCACATAACTCTACTGATTAATTTTAAGTGTTCTGTTTTAATAAATATATTAGATTTTGTAACCCTTTTTGCGATGATCAGCTGCATCCTTCTTTATGATTCTTAAAAACATAGGGAAATATTTGGAATGATTACATAATGTAATTAAAAGACTTTCATTAATCTGTCGAATAATATTATTAGTGAGTTTTTTAAAAATTATCCCACAAATACTGAATTACTCTATCCTGACAACCTTGTTCTAACTGTTCTTAGTATGTATTCCTGTGGTCCTTTGTTTTATTGGATTGATTACTAACTTTATGACTGATTGGTTTTCTTCCTATAAAATTTTTTCAGCTAAATCATTGAATACCTTAAAGAATATAAAATTATCAAAATAAAACCTCAACTGAATTGAATTGTTTGTTTAACATTGAAATGCCATAAGAACTTGTTGTGTGGCGTCGAGTTGTGGTTGACTATGATCACCACTACAAGAAAACTACGTGCCGGTTAACCGATAAGATCTCCGTAGGCCAAATATTAGAAGGCAGTTGATGGCTGTAGTCGACATGTATTTATTGGAGATCTCATGGTATCGGAAGAATACCGAGATCGTGCCAAGTTACAAGTATGGTTACTGAGCGTAACCGAATTCGTGCAATGTCACAATCAAAGGAAGAAAGTATGTTCTTAGTACAGTTAAACAAACAAGTACAGTAAAACAATCACTGGTACAATTGGTTATAATAATAATAATTAATTTCATTATAACAATCGCGTTCTCTTGATAAAAGTATGTCACTACAAACTAATCTATTATAATTAGAAATATCGTTAGTCTTATACTCATGTATGCAATATAAGTAGTACATTTCATAATGTGATAAATTCTTCCTTCAGAACATTTACTCATTCTGGGACTGGATCAATAACTAATTAATGAAGTTATCATAAATAAACCATATAAGGGTTAGTGTATCATTTGTTACGTAATAACAAATGATAAATAGATATCTTTAGTTAGAAAACATATATCTTTACTTGTGTATACATTTTCAACTTGTTATATTCAGAATTGAACACGTATTTTACTCTGGAACATGTCATTTACATATACCCATAATACAGTATTGGCAGTAACAAAGTATCGACTGATGACGAGCATATGACGAGATTGACGCGTAAAACAACAGAGAAAACAAAGCCATTGAACACAATGATAATATTTTATTGTTTGGACAGATTAATACTGAGTTCAAGTTGAAGTATGAGCATCAACACTGTGAAAAAGCTTTCATTCAGTTGACAAATGTCAAATAAAATGAATCATGAGTAGTAAATTGATTCGTTAGCTGCAGCCTAAACAATATTAAATTATTTATTCTTCCTAATATTAGGGAAATATATGACTCAGCAATTTGATGGTGGTAGAAGGTAGTCAATAAGAAACACTGGACCAGGGTTTCGTGCCATTTGGCACTCGTCAGCAAAGTGTGCCTGTAATCTTGAGAGGACTGGTGCTTCCTAACGGATTTGATCACAGCTTCATTGGTACAGGTACACCTTGCTGATGAGTGCCAAGTAGAACAAATCCTGGGTCTAGGGTTTCTTGCTGACTACCTTTAACAAACATCTTATCTCACTATAGTACACGCAATATCGAGTCACTTAGACTAAAGGCCACATTGCAACTTGGTCGATAGCATCCAGTCTGCACTAAGAAAGACTTGACACACATGATATTGATCACCACTCAGTGATCAATCAATTGTGAACTCAGCAATTTAGTCATATTGTAGTGAACGACAACACATGTGGAGACAATCGAATGTACTTGAATACAAAATTACAAAATGTCTTAGTATAATCTGTGAATCATACAGTAAGTTCTTGATTTGTAAAATGTCAATCAATCGTCGGAGACTTTATTATTCCTTCGTTTCCACGCAAACCATTCTTTGTTCTCGTTCTCTTCTGTTTGATCTTCTTAACCTTCTGCCTCATTTCACTTTCAATTAATGATACATACTACTTATATGTGCTAACATCAGTAGCATACACAATATTTGTTGCTGAAAATAATTAATTTATTGATTTTGTAAATTATATACACATAGTGAATTAACAGTATAGAGTTGTGGAGATTATTAAGTTTTTGATTGAGATCATGGACCGATTGATATTAGACTATCATTGAAAACCTCGAAGCACTGGACGACCGTTTTGTCCCATTGTACAACTCCTCAACAGTGTGCATCTACAATCCCGTTCACGGGATTCGAACCCAGGGCGTTTAGTCTCTCTCACGAATGCTTAACCTCTAGACCACTGAATCGGTTGAGGAGTCCTACAATAAGACGAAATAGATATCCAGTGCTTCCAGGTTTTCAATAATGGTCTAACATTAATCGGTTTATAATCTTAATGAAAAGACATACTGAATTATTGGTTCATTAATGTTAACTACAACTCATTCAACATATTTAACAAATGAATTACCTTTTATTTCAGAATAAGCTTATCTATCTATCTACATCAACACTTGAGAGAGAATGGCCTCCAACTATGATCGATATTCCAATTGTACATCTCCAACCTTAAATAAAACAGACTATACATCACATTCTAATCGATTAAATTTATATGTAGATAATAAAACTGTTACTCCTTGGATACGTGGAGAAGTTATTCATGAGGGAAGTGAGTGTCATTTTTTTGGGGTTTTGTTTTGGCTATTAAAATATATTGTTTCCATGTCTTTTCATTAGAATAAACGATATTAAACAAGATTTAGCTTTGTATTAATTCTTTTACATTTTTGATGACAAGTACTTTAGAATCAAATTACAGTAATACCCTCCCCCCCACACATACTTTCACCCTCTGAAGTAATGATTTCTATCAATTAGAATCAAAATTAATGTCCTGAGGAATATTTTTAGTTACTATTGAATAATCCCAGCATCACAGTACTTCAATTGAGTATAAGATAATAAGGTCTTGGATTTTGGCGCAAAAATTCACTCATCCATTTGGTTAAGTAGATTTATGGCATTATGGCTGATTTCAGTTCGTGATGAAAAACTCCCTTAATCTAATTCTAAACTTTACCCTGTACTGACCTACTTTTATCAAGAGAACGCGATTGATATAATAGAAACAATTATTATTATAATTAATTAGACCAGTGATTGTTTTACTGTACTTGTTTGTTTAATTGTACTAAAACATACCTTCCTCCGTTGACTGTGACCTTTCACGCACTCACGTACGCTCAGTAGTTCCGTTTGTAAACTTTGGCACGATCTTGGTATTCTTTTGATACCATGTCGGGCTCACCAGTTGTAGCGTTGTAGCGTGGCGTCGAGTCGCAGTTGAATACCATCACCACTACACTGAGACTACATGCCAGTTATTAGGTTGGATTCCTTCGTAGGCCGAAAACCAGAAAGCAGTTGACGGTTGTAATAATATATATTTGCTGACAATCTCGTGCTATCAAAAGAATACCTAGATCGTACCAAAGTTTACAAGTGGAACTACTGAGCGTACGCGAGTGCGTGAAAGGTCACAGTCAACGGAAGAATTTATATGTTTTGGTACAGTTAAACAAACAAGTGCAGTAAAACAATCACTAGTACAATCGGTTATAATAATAATAATAATAATAATAAATTCCATTATACCAATCGCGTTCTCTTGATAAAAGTAGGTCACTACAAACCATTGAATGTAAATCATAATTCGTATTCCTCACCCTGGTTTTTAACCCTCATTTCGTCCTAGTTATCAGGTGGATACTCTCAAGGCCAGTTCAACATCACTCAAATGTCGTCCACAAATGATAGTCTCATCATAATCACCACTTAATATTAAACGTTATTTATCTTATATCTATTGTCAAGAGATATATTTGTAGTTATTATATGTCAACTATAGTGAATAGACTTATACTTTACTAGATTAAGGCACTCTAATAGATTACGATCCATAGTTAACAATAATCATTGTTTTAGGAAATCTATCAATTCTAATTCATTTATTTTGTAGTAAGCGTCCGTACACAAAACTGAAGGCCTTGGGTCCGAATCTTACGAGCCAGGATCTTGAATGCGCACTGATGATTAATAGTCCTATAATAGGACAAAATGGCCGTCCAGTGCTTCCAGGTTATCAATAATGGTCTAACATTGTTCAGTTAATGATCTCAGCCAAAATCTTTTTTTCCTAAATGATATTGATTTTTCTGGTAAACACTTTAACTAGTCACACTATATATACATACTGATAACATAATTTCAATGAACAATGGTGTATCATTTTAGACTGAATAGAAATTTCTATAGAAGAATTTTCAAAAAAAGAACATAAAAATTGTCTGACCTTGATTCATAAACATATTTGTCCATTGAAAGAAGTAAACTATGATAGGTTCAATGTTAACAATAACCAATCAATATCGAGATCTACAGTACAAGTTGTGAACTATATGTGGAAACATTCGAACACTTCACGACTATCCTAAGTTTTATGCTGATGATGTTATTCAGAATAATGATAAAAGCTTCATGACCAAATTATTCAATTCAGAGAACGAAACTTCTGTTATTTGTAATTAAGCTGTTGCAAGTCAATTTGAAGATATTTTAATACAAGTTAAGATAGTGCCATACAGCGGTTCATGTGTCTTATGATGACAAAAATATTAAATACTACTTAGTCTTCTTATTAGACACCGATGGATGCCGGCTCAATGATTTAGTTGGTTAAGCGCCTGGCGCGAGATTGATAAGTCCTGGGTTTGAATCCCGAGAGGCCGGATCGCGGATGCGCACAGCTGAGGAGTCCCACAATAGGACGAAACGGTCGTTCAGTACTTTCAGGTTTTCCATGGTGGTCTAGCTTCAATTGACTAATGATCTCAGTAATTAGAATAGCAACTGTTGATAAAAACCTTCAACCTTTGTCAATTTCTGATATCATCTATGGATAAAATTTGTCTGATTCTCAACAACCGATAATACACGTCCATTAGATCATCAAGAGGTCTTTTAGGATTGATATTTAATAACAGAATGGATTTTGTGGATATTACAATAATTTTTTATAGTTGAGATCATGAGTCAGTTGTAACTAAAACACCATGTAAAACATGGAAGCACTGGATGGTCGTTTCGTCCTAATATAGGGCCCCTCAGCTGTGCACATCCAAGAACTTGCCATCTCGCTAGATTGGAATCCAGAACCTATCATTCTCGTGCACGAGCGCTTAACCAGATAGACCACTGAGCCAGCATCCAATGGACTTAAGGTCTAAATTAAACTAACCACGAAATTGGGCATCACATCCACTGTTGTCATCAGTGGGTTACTATCTCACAACAGATTCGATTGAACTCCATTGATCATTAATTCTCACTAGAACTCCAGGAAATACCTCTTGAAGTCAGTCACTAATGAGCATATGTTGATTAATATCAGAAGGAGTTTTGTGGATATGATAATAATTTTTGGCGACACTCTAATTTATGGACGACATTTGAACGAATCTCGAGTGACCTTAAGAAATATTCGCCAGTCAGCAAACAGTCAGTATAGAGTAAACAGATGTTATACAAAACCAAGGAAATAAAGTGGATAGACTTCTTATACGTGGTTCAAAAACTTGTCAAGGTTAGAAAGAGATTCAGAGGTTCTAACATTATAATGCATGCAGTAGAAGAAATCATCCATACGGTTACAGAATAGTCGATCTCTGGAGTCATGATAGTCTCGAAAACTCTTTCAGCCTCGACCACATAGTCTCAATATTGTTTATGTGCACTCCAGTTGTCGAGTGCAAAAATATGCTACTTGTGGATAACGACACAATGCACATAACCAAGCCTATGTAGGAGTCTGCACGCTCTCCAGACATCCGAATATACTGTAGTACCTGGCTGCAGCTAGTGTTACTGGTGCTTTTATTATCCAATTCGTAATAATTGTCGTAAATTGCCTCAGCTAGGAATGATATATGGGTTTTTCATCACGAACTGACATCAGCTATATAGTGCCAGAAATTTATTTAGCCAGATGGATGAAAGGCTTTCGCGTTAAAATCCGACATCTATTATCGTCTTATACCTAACTGTTTCATCCACAAATGATAGTCCCACCGTTTTATTTGTTATAGCCGCTCAATTATCACGTTTTGTACAAAAATCCCTGTGAACCGATCATACGTTAGCATTAAGCACTGAAGTTGGCACCGTAACCTTGAAATCTGTAAAACGCCTCTGATTGGCTCGTCTTTAAATTAGCGTCTCGCCTTAATTTTTTTTAATAGTTGAATTCATTTATTCCCTTTTATTTCATTCACCAAATAATATTAGACTTCATAAATTGAAAGTGATTTATCCTACTTTTTTAAATCCCATATTATTAGTTACTTATTACTTTGACAATTAAATCTTATGATCAATATTATTTTCATTCAATGTTAATTTTTTTTCAAAAAAAATCTGTATATCATTTAGTGATACCCGTTGATAAGGGTTATGTACAAAAAAATATATTTGGTCGACGTTACCATGGAAATAATAACATGAAATTTTATAATTCTGGTAGTACTGGAACTGGTGGTGGTGGTGGTGGTGGTGGCGGTACTGGTGATGGAGGTAGTGGTGGTGGTGGTAGTAGTAACGCTTACAATTATTATGGTCGTAAACGTGGTCGAACATACAATCGACAATATTATCATGAAGGTCAACGTGCATATAATAATAATAGATCAAGATATCCATTTACTTGTTCACCTACTGTATATCCACTTTCACGTAGTCAATCTAGTTACAATATTGATTACGATATAAATAATAATAATAATAATAATAATAATAATAATAATAATCATTATAATTACAAGAATGATGGAAGAGTTCATCGTTATTCCAATTGTAGTTATACAATGAATAATGAACAATTAACAGATGAATATATTGATGATTGTTTATCTACAGATATTGAACAATATCAATTAAAATTAGATATGAATGATCCGTATATTCATCATAATTGTAAATCTAAACATTTAACAACAACAAATAATAATAATGTGAACAATGTTGATGGTTGGACTAAAATCAAAACATTATCACCATCGTCCACATTGTCGTCATCATCACCATCAACAGATTCTGATTTTATATCCAATGATATTAGTCAACCATCAACATCATCATCATCGTCGCCGTCAGCATCATCATCACCGTCGTCAACATCATCATCATCATCATCGTCAAATCATCAAATAATTAATAGTCATTTACATAATGAATCTAAACAATTACAACATAAATGTAAAAGTTCTTTAAATTTATCAACTTCATGTATAATTGTATATGATACAAATAATAATGAAGATTATATTGATGTAAATCATCATATTCATGATAATGTAGAAAATCAAAGAGAATCTATCGAATATGATACTAATCAGAAAGATTGTAAGTAATATTTCAATGAAATATGTATTAATTATTATTGAATACCTATTAAAGTACTTACATCTGTTAACCTTCGTAGAGGAGCATAGACTGCTAACTAACACTCTCCATTCAACTCTGTCTTGAGTAATCATCTCCAGTTGCTATTGATTTAAACATATAAACATTGATACAAGGAGGTACCAACTAGATATACACCACATACTGCTCAAACCGAATCAGGTAATTTTCTTAGGGGAGCATACCAGGAACCTTCGACTTAAAGGTTTGATCCGATCCACAAGGCATTGGAGCAACGTTAGGAGATGCAGTTTCATGAAAGCTAGTGATCAACAATTGGTTCATACGCCATTTGTGCCTTCAGGATCCTAGAGTCAGCCCATGTGTACTATTGGTTGGGAATCAGGGTTTTCTAACTCCCCTAGGTGGACTCTCTGTGTCATCAACCTAGTTAAAGCACCGAACATTCGATTATTGTCCTCTCAAGTTTGTGAACAGCAGCCCTACTTTGACTTCTGTGGTAGTGGCTGTATACATGTGGCCATGTGAGAGTATTTCGAGGAGAGTTTGCACTTTCCACTCTTGGCCGTACCAGGGCATTGAGGGTTATATCTGTATTATTCATTTACATCATTTCTCTCTGTATTATTATTCTATCTGCTGAAATATTTAACGGGCTTATGATTCATATTGGCGTATCGAATCCGATGCTGTATAGTGAAACCAAGATTGGTGATAAGAATTTATTTGACTGCCTAAATAAATCAAAGTGATATATAAGTACATTACTTTTAATATAGTTTATATGTAGTTAGATCAGTAGTCAGATTTGTATAATACGATATATGCACAAGAAGTAAACATGGACAATAAACCGAAGCTTAGGGGTACTAGACGTCTATCCCCTAAACGGTTTTCAGTACATGTAAAAGGATTTCGACAATGGTGGTCTATCTGAGTAGCCGGTGTCACGACAACAGTCTATGAATTCATTTACAAGGGTGATGCTCAAGGTTAATGTCTTACACAACAAGTGAACCACATGCGATTCAGAGAGCTGATGTTGACTAGGGAACTCCTAATGTCCTCTCTAGCAATACACTACCGTCTTGATTCAGTCGATCAGAAGCAACCGAGCCAGAGCATCAGAAGCAGTAACCAGACCTTAAAAAATCATCGAAAAAAACTTTATCTTCCGCACAGCCTTCATTTGGATCCGACTAGTTGGACCTATTTTCAGGACGGTAAGTTTTTATGACAATAACTAAAGCACCCGTTGAGATGCGAATACTGTTAAGTTGTATCTCCTCGTTTTCCAGACGTTTCATGTACCTATAGAAATTGTTACTCTGGTTGTTAGAAGGTGAATCAGCCTCATGACTTCCGAAGAATTTCAGCTTTTATCCTGAGGCGTCATAATTCTTCTCCAAACTACCAGGACAGATTTTAAATGGTTTAATCTGTTTAATCTGGTTGGAGTGTTTTTTAGCAAGATTTCTTTTCTACGTTATTATTTTGCCGACCCCATTCCCAACCCTCCTTCTTTACCTAGGCTTGGGATCGGCAGTAACTCTAGAAGAGCTACAGACGGAGTTATCCACTGAAGTACATCTACCTATAAACATCACAATTAAACAAACCAAGTGTTTATTTGAAAACATTGATGATTTTGTTTATTTGTTATACTTTCAGGTAAATCTGGAAATATGAATGACTATCTTACGCTTGTTTGGGGTAAGTAAGCCATGTTCATGTTGATTATTGACTAGAGACTTGAGTTCATGCCAATCATCTTTATAGTTTGAGGCGGTAAAATTTCTCAGGTATCAGAATAGAGTAAATAGATTTATTGTTCATTAGAAAGTAAAGAGTATTATACTACTTAGTTCTTTATGATGTTGACTTGTTTAGTTTAGTGCCCACGATGAATATATGTTTCATAGAATTCAATTATCACTGTTGATTGCATTGTCAGATATCAAGTACACCGGGTTACTCCGTCAATTAACACAATACGGTTAAGAATGTCTTACAATTGTTTAATCATTGGATGGTGATCAATGTCATGTGTATCAAGTCCTATTACCTCCAACCATCATCTTATCTCATCATAATCTTCACTTACATTACATCTCAGCCTTACAGGAGGTTGATCGTGGCCCGAATAGCTCAGTGGTAACGTCTCTGACTGTGAAGCTGGGTGGCACGGTACCGAGTTCGTCGCGGAGCACCAGTTCCCTCAAGATTACAGATACACCTGGCTGAGGAGTGCCAAGTAGCACGAAACCCGGATCCAGAGTTTCCTGTTGACTACTTCCAATCATCATCTTATCTTTATAATGTCTAGATAGCATTAGTCAATGAAGTTATTGAAAGTTAGAGTTATGTAAAATGGTACAAAGTTTTTGGTTAATGTTCCCCTCAATAACTTACATAGCTTAAACTTATAATCAGTTACTTTGATGCTTGATACAGTGATTCGTTGTAATTGTTCAAAACTTTATGTTAACCTTGTTTTACTTTATCCACTACCATAAATTGGAGTAGACTTAATTGAGAATAAACGTGTTTCATAGAAAACTGTTAGAAGAAATTTATATCCTTGATTTCTAGTAGTGAATTTATTTATTATGATAATTTTTTATTAATAAGTATTTGTATATATTAATGATAAATATCAGAAAGGGGAAACCTGGAAGCACTGGACAGCCGTTTCGTCCTATTATGGAACACCTCAGCAGTGCGCATCTACGATACGACTGTCGGTCTACTCCGGGTGACCGTGAGTTTGACCATAAACGAAGGTGTTACATAAGGAAATTGGGCAAAGCTTGCGTAAGGACCGAGAAGCCTGGTGGTCGGAGCGTGCTCATGAGCTGGAAGCAGCAGCTGCCTCTGGTAATTGCCGGAAGCTCTTCCAACTCATCCGAGCCACTGGCAGCAGGATGTCTGGTGTGAGTGAATCAATCTGCGAGGATGACGGGATGCCTGGCCTCTCACTATAGGACGAGACGGCCATCTAGTGCTTCCAGATTTTCAACGGTCGTCTAACATCAATCGCTTCATGATCTCAATCAACAACATAATAATCTCCACAACCCTACACTTACATATATTAAAGCTCAATTTCACCGTAGCTCTGTTGTGTTTTATCTTGTAAGTGAATCTTCTAATGAACTTCGCACCAAATTTTCACTGTTTTGTCGATTTGTTAAGAAGTAATAGCCATCCATTCCTTCATCTATAGCTCAGCTTAAAGCTACAAGACTTAGACTGATTCAGTTTGATGATTCATAGAATTCTCAATCAACTTAGCGTACAGCAAATCAATGGGAGGATTCAAGTAAAATAATAATGAGTGAATGTAAAATTCACCTTATTGCACAAGCAAGTGGCTATCAAGACGTGATGTCATTTAGAGCGAACGATATTGCGTTTGAGTTCCAAAGTAAATATTAACTCTAAATGCAGGTACAACTATCTGATGAGTCCTAAAATAGGACGAAACACGCGTCAAACTGGATTTCATCGCTAGTCATTATCCATCTTTCTTATAATACTTGTGAATTAAGGCACAGTATGCACATATGCCAATAAGAGACTGACTGATCGATCGCAGTCCGAAATACCAATAAGAAGATTCAAGTAAACAATACCAACTTCACCCTATTGCACAAACAAGTAGCTATCACGACTCATTATCTAAGTAACTAACGCAGTGGCATTTAGAACGAACGATATTGGGTTCGAGTCTCGCAGTGAAGATCAAATGTGAGATGCAGGTACATTCATCTGATGAGTCCTAAAATAGAACGAAACGCGCGTGGATATGGATTCTACAGCTAGCCATTACCCATCTTTACATATAATGTATTATTGTAAGCAAGTAAACTAATAACCATATTCATTTACTTTTATACATCTTAGGTGATCTACCTGATACGTTGGAAAATAGTTAGATATGAAGATTGAATTATTCAATGGTTGTGAGATCTTCTTCAACATTATCTTCCTCTTTTTTCAAATAAACAATCAACAACAAAAAAAAGAAAAATCCCACATTAATATACAATAGAGTTTTTGTATTATTGTCAAGTGAGTTTCTCTTTGATTTAAATGATGCGCATGGTTATGATAAATTTTTGTTCTATTGAGTATAATATCAAGTTAGTAACGATGAGTATCGATTATGATGTTGATATGTTGTTAGGGTACAGGTACTGGGTAAGGATAGAAAATCAATTGATGAACCAATAAAACTCCTTAAGCATTTCATCTGACTACTCTAAACAACAATGCAAACATGTTTAGGATGCAATTCTACACCTCGAAATGCAAAACATTACTTCAGGATTGGGTTGCATCTACACCTGGACTAATGATAGGGAGTGAAGTAGTGGAGCGTCTCGACCACTTCACTTATCTTGAGAGTTTCGTCAGCCCTTGTGGTCTGGTGTGTGACGAAATATCAGCACGGATACAGAAGGCTCGACTAGCTTTTGCCAACTTGCATCATTTATGGCGTAAGCGAGATATCCGTCTATCAACCAAAAGATGTGTTCACTGATCAGCAGTTCGTTCCGTCCTACTTAATGGTAGTGAAACATGGCCGGTAAGAGTACAGGATATTCGTAGGTTACTAGTTTTCAACCATAGGTGTCTTCGAAATATTGCTCTTATATCCTGGGACCACTGAGTACGTATTGTAGTTGTTAAGAAACGGGTACTAGGTAAGGATGACAAATCGATTGATGAAGTGGTGAAACTTCATCAGTTGAGATGGCTGGGACACGTGTTACGTATGCCCAACTACCGACTGCTCCGACGTGCGATGTTTTATGGTGTAGGAGTAAGTTGGAAGAAAACTAGGGGCGGCCAGATCAAAACATGGCACAAGTCTATGAAGTCACTGACAAGTGAACTGAGCCATATTGGTAGGTGTAGACTACCTGGTTGGGGACCGCGAGATGATAGCAATCGATGGTTACAAACTTTGAATGTGACATGACTCAAAATTGTTCGTAATGACTCAGGTGCATTCACTCTTTGTGTTCTCCCAAATTCTAATCTTCTGAATTCTTCATGTCCCTTTATTTTTTCTCTTTTCAAATTTATTTCACTGCATTATACTCCTTGAATAACATCTTCAAACCTTAATCATTCGAATTACTGCTTATACTCTTACTACCTCTACCACAATGGGATTTGAATTGACAATTGTATCAGTATGCTAATGTGGTATGGCAAGTTGAACTGATGTATGTACGTACGTACGAAGTTCTACGTTGTTACTGGCTGATTGACTGATATGTAAGGTAAAATTATACTGATCACAAATTGTCTAAAATCTCTAGAGTAATGCAAGTGAACTAATCTGATTAAGGTTACAACAAATTTCTTGTCTGAATCAATTCGTACAGTTGTTTTTACAGTAAAGTTTCTCATGAAGTTTCGGTTTTATCTATCTATTCCTTAGTAGCTAAATTGTATTGTGGATAAAGATGAACGGTTTAGTAGTAAAATATGTTAGATAAGTTATTATTTTTTATTGTTGTCTAGTTTTATGATGAAATAAATAGAACGATTAGATAATGGCTAGTAGTGGAATTCATTTTGATGTGGGTTTCGTCCTATTTCGAACTCATCAGCTGGATGTACTAGCATCTCAGAATCAACATTCACTCTGGGACTCAAACTCAGTACCACCCACTTCAAATGGCATCGCATTATCCATTTAGAGCAATTATTGAGTGTCTATTTTGTTATTTAATAAATGTTTTATTCAAATGATCACTTGTATTCCTTTTTATTTCTTGTTTTTATCTTTTTCTATCTACTCTCCATTCTGTTAAATTTTCTATATTAAAAAGAAGATATTCCATTAGTTCATCAAATCATTCATTATTGCATAGGGTCAGGTTTTCTGACAATGATCAATGAGCTTAATATAATCGATGAAGTACCATTTATTGACATACTTCAAGATTATTCACATCTTCCTTTAGAACTTGAATATGTATTACCACATAATTCTCATCCCTTGATCTTCTTTGTCCTTATTGAAGGTTTCCTTGCAGTGGATATCATATCTTCAAAACAATGTTTCCAACATTGATAATATATTTCGATGATTAGATGTTATTTTCAGACCCTGTTTTACCTATAACTAACTAGTACATTGAATGGATATTCATTTTATGAGAGTTTACGCCATTCCCTTGAAGTGACTATATATATAATAAGAAAAGAACCAGATCAAATTCATGATCTATTTTATATCTTGATTTAGTGTGAATGATATAACATTACGATTATCGTAACCAATAGCTGAAGACTGTGCGTGACATGACTGAGCATCGATCACAATGGCGTAGGTATATACACACTTTGCCTTCCTTCAAACTATGAGATTAAAATCGCTTCATATCTTTCTTTCTACCAACTAATTTCTTCCTGTACTACATCCTTACACACAATCTTTCTTTTATATATTACTACCATTGAATTAACTACTTCTATGAATCCGATGTTCAACTTGTTGTGCTAATGAGGTATGGAAACTTAGACTGATGCATTTATGTGCCTGATCCTATGTTGTAGCTGACTAACGGATATACTTCCCCCTCTAAAAAACTGATTATTTCTTCTATTCACTAGTGTTTAGTGGAAGAAATTCCAACAATTATTTGATTTCTAAAATCATCATTTATAATTTTAAGCCGTGATCATTAAGTTTTTGATTGAGATCATGAACCGATTGATGTTAGATCACCATTTAGATCCTAGAAGCATTAATCGGTTCATGATCTCAATCAATAACTGAATAATTTCCATAACTCAATAGTGATAATTATCATGTCCTCATTAGTGACTAGCTTCGTGAGGTAATTCTCAGAGTTCTGGTGAGAAACCGTGACCAGTGTAGCTAACCCATGTCAGATAGAGACAGGTATTTACTTCAGTACTATAGAAGATGATCACAAAATTTCGTGGATTGGTTGAGATTAGAAATTGACACCGTCGAATACCGGCTCAGTGGTCTAGTAGGTCAAGCGTTCATGCGCTAGACCGAAGGCCCTGGGTTGGAATCCCATGAGCGGGATCGTGGACGCACACCGCTGAGGAGTCCTATACTAGGACGAAACAGTCATCTAGTGCTTCCAAGTTTTTAATAGTGGTCTGACATCAATCGGTTCATGATCTTAATCAAAAACTTAATGATCAATACAATGTTCTTTTTCTGTTTGTATGATATTTAAAATCTGTCAATTTAATCAATATTTATTTCAATATTTGTATATCGTGCTCAAAGCAAGTAATTACCGTTTCTAATATCGAATCATTATCTAAACAAAATGAGAAAAAATCATCTCAAGTCTCATTTCAAACTTCTATTTAGAATATAAATAATTCACCCGGTTATTCATTCATGCATTTATTTATTTATTTGAACACATGAATAGTAGTATAAAGGGGCACCAAATACATATGCGCCAAACAAGTCAATTGATTTGTGTGTGGTCTGTGATACTGCCCGGATGCTCAGATCGAAACAGGTGATTTCCTCAGGAAGCCACGTCCGGAGGCTTCGACCTAAAGGTTTAAACCACAAGGAAATGGAACAACGTACAGAGATGCAGTCCTATGGTCGATGATGATCAACCATTTGGTTCATAAGCCATTTGTTCTCTCAGGATACCGGAGTCAGTCCATATGCTCCATTGGTTTGGAATCCGAATTTTCCAACTCCCCTAGGTAGACCCTCCATATCCACCAACCCGGTTAAGGAGCCGGACATTCGCACTTCATTCTCTCAATTTCGTAAACAACAACCACATTGTGTGAAGGTAATGAGTAGGACTTCCTTGTATGCCAACGGAAATTAGTCAGTCAGCCAACACAAACTGATCATATAAGCTTGTTTTGTACTAATCTATTAGCTAAGTCAATTAGAATCAGATCGCTTACTATTCATTAACTAATAGTACAAATGAAATTTTATGTCAATATAACAAGATCATATATAGTGTATATTACATTGATAACTATAATATACAACTATTGGTATTTATTGATTTTACAGGTTTGTTTAGAAAAAATTGTATTTGTTGTTGTTGCTGTTGTTTAGAAAAAATTCCGGTGAAACGGTAATTTATGGACGACTTTTAAGTGACTCTAGTGAATAACCTCTAAACTGTTTATCTAACAACTAGGATTAAATGAGGGATTATATATCATGGTAAGAAATTAAAATTATGATGATTAAGAATAGGAATTCGATTTGGGGCCGGGGGGGTGTCATCACTAACTGACATCAGTTATGAATCCATTTAACCAAATGGATGAGTGAATGTCGTGTCGAAATCCAAGACCTATTATTCTATATCTGATTGATTTATTCATAAATTCTAGTCTCATCTTTTTCTTTATTATTTTCTATTCAATAATGATACAGTGGATTATTCATTAATTATTTTTTTTATAATTTTGTTATAGAATACTTTTCTTCTTCAATTGACTAGTTCAAAGAATGTATCCATTCTCTGTATTCAATCAAACTTCAATGAAACACATATATATCATAAAAAATATATACTAGTAGTTGACATGGTAATTTTTCGAAGTTTCGTTCAATGATACTTACATCTGTTACTCTTCGTGAAGGAGTATAGATCGCCCATCAGTACTCAACATCATCATCTAACCATATCCTGGGCAATCTTCTTCAAATGATACTTGGCACTTTGTATTGATTTATAAAAGAATTCAAAAACAATAATTCTATTATTATTATTATTATTATACAATGTACAACCTTTGATACTTTTATTTTTCGAAGATTTTGCATTTTTGTTTTTTACACATAACTATTGATATTTTCTTTCATTATTTATTTATATTTCAGTTATGCTTTCACTGTATCATTATTATTATGAACAGTGATTTCATATGTTATTAACAAGGGTTTTTATATATGATGAATTGTGTTGTATAATTACATAACAAACTACTTATAAACTACTTATATACTATCTAATATAAGTTTATATGTATATCATGTGTCTGTGAGATCAATTTTCAGTATTTCACCCCCACCCCCTATCTCTTCACTTTCATTAATGTAATAAATCGTTGAAGAGATTTCGTCGAATAAGTATAAATTTCTTCAAATGTTTATTGTTTGTTTTATGTTCATTAAAGTGTGCAAAATATTAACATTATCATCAATGTAATCATTACCTAATAACTTATGTGTTAAACTAATACTAACTGAAGAAAGTTACCAAATCCAAGTGCTTTTTTTCTATATGAAGAACATTTATTTTAGTTTTATTTTTTATTCAGAAAGATCATCATATCAATATGTTTACTATTTAACATTACAATTATCGAAAACTTCTTGTGTTACAAGGCATTATTATGGTTAGAAACTAATCTTAGGACTCAGTAGTTGAGTGGATAACGCACGATGGCGTTTGAAGCGAATGGTACTGAGTTCGAGTTTCAGAGTGGACACCAACTCTCTGAGATGCAGGTACATCCAGCTGATGAGTCCCAAATAGGACGAAGTGACGCGCGTCAAACTGGATTCCACTGCTAGCCACTATTCATCATTGCTTACAAAAAGCTTGTGAATTAAGGCAATATCGAGGCATACGCAGAGTATGCAAATATGCTAATAACAAACTGATCAATTGCAGTCTTAAAGTTCAATGGGAAGATAAAGGCTAAACAATACCAAGTGAACTTAATTCTAGTCAAAATGTGAGACTTAAAAACTGCAACTACTTATAAATGTTCATAAGTAGTTGGATGTTATACTTAAAATTAACGTGTTAACATTATATTGATTTGTCCGAAATATTTAAAAAATTTTCTGATTATAAGGAAAAAAATAATTTAGACTGAAGTTCAGTGGATAAAAATAATAAACCAATCAGTCGAAATATATCACAATCAAGACATATTCTAAAGTAGCAGAAGTAGTATCTGTTTCAGTGGTAGTAGAGAAGATTAATATTCATTAGATATTAGAAGCCGATAAAAAGTCGATCAAATCAAGTTTAGAATATAAAGCATTAGAGGCTGTCCGGATGGCCTAAGTATATCACACACATTGAGTGATCTAAATAATTTGAGTTCCATTTTGTTGAGATTTCAGATGTGACAGATGAGAAGTCCTAAACCAAAAAAAAGACGTGATCACGAGAGTTTAAGCATGTTGGGTGTGAGGTAGTTACAAACAAACGGTATTGGAAGATGATTGAACGATAACATAAATTTAATGAAGTTGTAAATGTAAACCACTATATGTCGACTCAGTAACATGAAAGGCTCATTATGAAACTAGGAAAGTCCTATACTTGATACTGAGATTGTGGGAACAAACTATTGATGAGTTCCAAGCTAAAACGAGACAGCTTTCCTTACTTACTTACTTATGCCTGTTACTCCTAATGTAGCATAGGCCGCCGACCAGCATTCTCCAACCCACTCTGTCCTGGGCCTTCTTTTCTAGTTTCATCCAATTCTTGTTCATTTTTCTCATGTCTATTTCCATTTCCCGGCGTAATGTGTTCTTTGGTCTTTCTCTTTTCCTTTGGCCCTGAGGATTCCAGGGCCAGTGCGTCCTAGTAAAAAACTTAACTGTGTACAGCAGGCATCTGTCGGTCTATCACAGCTTCTTGGCCGTAGTCTTAGAGACGCTACAACTCAGTAGAATGACACTTTACCAAACATGGGTTAGGAATGAAACCAGTGTTTATATTGTTGTCGTTTTCTGTTACACTCTATAAAAGTGAGATAAGCCTAGTTCTTCTTAAATGAACTGCTTTCTTCACTAACTTCCTTTCATTTATTTCTTAACCAGATTATCGTTTCATTTGTGTGATGCAATTTTCGGTGTTCTAATTTATCAAAATTTATGTACATTGATGAAACAAATTAACAAAATATTATAGAATCCAACCACAAATCAGCAGTATGTGATAAGACGATCATTTTATGATAACAATAATAACAGACGTATCCCTAAAACGGCTTAATGCCATCAGTTCAGCGATATCCAATTCTCAGCGGTTCAATAGCTGATATCAGTATATTTATTATAAGTAATATGTACTGTCGGTTATTATGTTAAGCCCATATACCTTATTCTGGCTTTCGGACAAACCAATCTATTCATTCTCCTTGATTCACATTTTGACCGTGTCAATTATATGCTTATCAATCTTGACTATTTTTATCTGAACGCATGTGTGTGCTCTTCTTATCCTATTCATCACATATCTGTAGCTTAATTTTGTGTGACTAGAAATATTGATTAACGCTTGGTTAAATGGATTTGTCTCACATGCTTACTCCACTGTGTGTCATTTCGCTTCGATATCTTCTCTTCGCTTCTCCGATACATTTGTCTGGATTAAAGTTTGTATGGAATATACATATTTGAAATTTATTCTCGTATTGGATTTATTTCATTCCATTATTGATTAACGCGATTTAAGTCGATGAAATATACGAAGATATTTGACATATATAATATTTCGACAGCAATCATTCAATAACCAACATTTATACGATCTAATTAGAGTCAGATTTCGGGCTATTAAAGATATTTCTCACCATTTTTCACAATCGTATAGATGTATTCACTCTTTTGATTCTTCATTCGTTCATGAGCGATAGCAGTATTTCTTTTATATGTAACCCTCCACTCTGTTATATTTGAACCTTATTCTTAATAGATTATTCTTCCCAGTGTCATTGCTACCACATTATTTATATCACCTCACCTATTCCTTTAGTTAATCATATTATCATGCTAATATGATACATAACAATTTAGAACAAGACAAATCTGTATCAGGTTTTATGTTGATGACTACCAAGTCTGTAACTTATTTCCTAAGCAGAGATGAGTGAATTTGACTTTAAAGGATAATTCATATATGAAAACCATTAAATACTAATTGAACTGAATTATAAATAGAATAGAACTTGAAACTACAATCTGTATGATTGATAAACTATGCGTATTAACCATCAAACCATCAGGATATATGAGAATGATTGTAAATCAGTTGATGAGGTTGTAAACCTTTATCGACTGAGATGGTTGGGCCATGTGTTACATATGCCTGAACATCGATTATCACGACGCGCAATATTGACCAGTATTGGAAACGGTTGTAAGAAAATTAAAGGCGGTCAAACCGAAACGTGTTATCAGTCCTTGAAGTCACTAACTTCTAATGCGAGCCATGTTAGTAGATGCAGACTACTTGGTTGGAATCCGCGTGACTCTCGTAACCAATGGTTGGAGACTGTGGGTGACATGGTTGAGCATCGATCACAATGGCATCGGTGTATACACAATTTACCTTCCTTCAAACTATGAGATTAAAATCGTTTCATATTTTTCTTTCTACCAACTAATTCTTTCTTCCTGTACTACATCCTTACACACAATCTTTCTTTTATATATTACTACCATTGTCAGTCAGTCAGCTACAACGTAGGACCAGGCACATATGTGCATCGGTCCAGGTTGCCATACCGCATCAGCACAACAAGATGAACACCGGATTCATAACAGTGGTTAGGTAAAAGGTGGTAATATATAAGAGAAAGATTGCATATAGAGATATAGTACAAGAAGAAAGAATTGGTTCGTAAAAAGAAAGATATGAAGCGCTATTAATCTCTTAGTTTAAGGGAAGACAGGGAGTGTATACACCGACACCATTGTGATCGATTCTGAGCCATGTCACATACAGTCTCCAACCATTGGTTACGATAGTCACGCGGACCCCAACCAAGTAGTCTGCATCTAACAATATGGCTCAGACTACAAGTTAGTGACTTCAAGCACTGATGCCACGTTTTGGTTTGGCCGCCCCTAACTTTCTTCCAACCATTTCCAATACCGAATAGCATTGCACGTCGTGGTAATCGGTGTTCAGGCATACGTAACACGTGGCCCAACCATCTCAGTCGATGAAGATTCATAACCTCGTCAACTGATTTACCATCATTTCCTAATACCCTGCGTCTAACCTCACTATTACTTACCCGGTGATCCCAGCAGACGCCAGCAAAATTTCTAAGGCATCTCTGGTCAAATACTAGTAGCTTACGAGTGTCTTCTACTCTTAATGGCCATGTTTCGCTGCCGTAAATTAAAACAGAACGGACCACCGCGCAATATACTCGTCCTTTCATTGATAGACGGATATCTCGCCTTCGCCACAGGTGACGTAAGTTGGCAAAAGCCGAACGAGCTTTTCGAATCCGTGCTGAGATTTCGTCCGATACCAATCCATTAGGGCTGATCAGACTTCCAAGATAAGTGAAGTTGTCAACGCGTTCGACTACTTCACTCCCTATCCTTAGTTCAGGTGTTAACGCAGATCAGTACTGAAGCAACAACTTGCATTTCGAGGGAGAGAAGCGCATTCCAAACATTCTGGCATTGTTGCTCAGTGCTACCAGAAGACTCTGCATTTTGTCAGCGTCTTCACCAAACAGGACTATGTCATCTGCGTATTCTAAGTCGATAAGTGGACCTCCTGGATGGAGATCAATACCCGAGAACTCAGTCGACGAGAAAGTTATTTCCATCAGTAGATCTATGATGAAGTTAAACAAAAATGGGGAAAGTGGACAGCCTTGACGGACACCACTTGAGGTTGCAAAAGTAGATGACAGTTCGCCATAAGCTCTGACTCGACTAGTAGTGTTCGAGTAAAGAGCCTTTACAAGGTTTATGTACTTCTGGGGTATGCCTTTCAATGACAGACACTGCCACAGTACCTCGCGGTCTACCGAGTCGAATGCTGCTTTTAAGTCAAGAAAGACCACCATCGTCGGACGCCGATAAGTATCCCTGTGTTCTAGAACCTGACGAATGGTGAATATGTGGTCGATAAAGCCACGACCAGGTCTGAAGCCAGCTTGGTTTTCTCGTGTTTGCAGTTCACGAGTCTTAGTTAGGCGTCTGATAATTATCGAGGCTAGTATTTTAGATATTATATTAGTTAAACTAATCCCTCTGTGGTTTTCACAGGATGATTTTGACTCTTTCTTATATATTGGGACGGTAAGTGATTGTGACCAGTCAGATGGAATAACGTCTAACTCCCAGATCTTAGCTAAAATATTAGTCAACCTAATAGCTAAAATTAGACCACCATCCTTAAAGACTTCTGGAGCCAGTCCATCTTGACCAGCTGCCCTTCCCCGTTTCAGATTATCTATAGCCTTTTGAACTTCAGCAAGAGTTGGGGGACCTACTTCAATGTTCCATTCACACTTCCTGGGAATGGAGGGTAGTTGTAGAGTAGCTGAAGGCCAGCTGAACTGTTCTCTGAAATGTTCCGCCCATCGTTCTAAACGCCTGGACTGGGAGCAGATGAGTGTATCGTCTTTTTCCGATATAATCTCACTTACACTTGACTTAATAATTCCAGTTTCTTTTATTAGTCTGTAAAGCTGTCTTGTGTTCCCTATAGTCGCCGCCTTTTCCATCTCTTTTGCTTTCGTTGCCCACCACTGCTCACGGTCGTTTCTTAAACTTTTTCTTAACCTAGATCTGATTTGTTGTCGCTCTTCATCATGTTCGGAACCTGATGGGACGAGTTTGCGAGAATCCATCAGTGTGATAGACTTTGAAGAAATCCACTGGTTCTTTGAAACTCTGTGGTTTAAGTCGCTAATAGATGTCATTGCTGCTTCCACTGCTGCTTGTATGTCTTTCCAAGTCAATGGTATTACTACCATTGACTTAACTACTTCTATGAATCCGATGTTCAACTTGTGCTAATGAGGTATGGAAACTTAGACTGATGCATCTATGTGCTTAGTTCTACGTCGTACCTGACTGACTGACTAACTAGACAACACTGTGCCACTCAACGCAAACTATCCAATTTACAAAGATCATCCTCTTTCATCAAAGATAAACAATCTTCTAATTCATTCTTCTTTTCTTTTTAAACATGAGATCATCATAATAACAAATAATACATATACATGATAAATTGATTTCAAAAATGGGATAGATTAAATATTCCATTAAATGAATTAGTAATGATAAAATTACTATTTTTTATTAAAGAAATTTGTAATGGATTGTACACCTTTTGGAATTTTCGCTTTCTTTATAATTGGCTAGAAGAAATAATTTGAAGAGAAAAAAACAAAACAAAATTAAACACAATACTACTGTTGTATTAAATAAACTAACTAATCTTAGTTATACTATCATTTAGAACCTGAAAGCATTGAATGTCCGATTCGTCCTAGAATAGGACTTCTCAGAGATCTTGTATATCCATAGTCTTGAACCACAAAATCCAACACAGAACATTCAATCTTAACCTCGACTTCACTTAGTCGAAACCCAGTTGTGTGTGTGTGTCTAATTTTAGTCGACTCATGATATTGGAAGTAAGCTAAGGGTGGCCAGACCAAAACACGGCACAAACCCATGAAGTCACTAAGAAATGGACAGCCATATTGGTAGGTGTAGACTACCTGGTGGAGAACTGCGAGATGATAGCAATCGATGGTTAGAGACCTTGAGTGATATGGATCAAAATCGTTTGCAATGGTGTGCTCAGGTGCATCCACTCTTTGTGTTCTCCCGTATTCTGATCTTCTGAATTCTTTATGTCAGTCATTTTTTCTATTTCCAAATTTATTTCACTGGACTATACTCTTTGAATAACAATCTTCAAACTTTAATCTTTCGAATTACTGCTTATACTCTTACTATCTCTACCACAATGGGATTTCAATTGACAATTGTATCAGTATGCTAATGTGGTATGGCAAGTTGAACTGATGTATGTACGTACGTACGAAGTTCTACGTTGTTACTGACTGACTGATCTTCTTTTGCTTACGATGAATAATTGTCTCACATTGAACATAGTTAAACTCTATTGACCACAACTTTTCACTAGAACTTGACTTGACTAAAAGTTGATCATTAGTGACTATATGATTAGAATAAATAAAGGAGGATTTGTGAAATTTTCCCAGTATTAAACACGAATTGAACTTAGCTAGATATATAGAAACACTGGATAGCTATTTCATCTTAGTATAATGTAGTGCCTTAAATCGTTCTGTGAATATGACATATACAACATATGCTCGAATGATAAGCAACTGTAAATTACAAGTTTATGATAAAGTAGTTATCAACTTAGGAATTAATGATTGTTAGTTGTTTAAACTGATAGGATTTTATGTGTATTTGGCTAAACTAACAATAATGGCAACCATACCATCATCCATTAAATAACTGAGTGTTAATTATTTACGTCCCATTTCAAAGTAATTAGGTTTGTCTATAAGTAAAAATATTAATTTTATCTACTAAGTAGCATAAAAAGGTTTAAAGTAATTCGATCTATGTAAAATAGAAATTCTTGAGTCATATGAAGAAGAACAAGGTTGACTGATCAATATTTGTGCAAACATTTATCAGACTCATTTGCATGTATAATACTGTATATGACCTGGTTTGGTTGAAGGTGAGGAAAGTCAGCTTTCCCTCTCGAAATACTCTCATATGACCACATATATACAACCACTGACATGAAAGTTCTACTTACTGCCGTCTAGCGGCAGAGTTATTATTTACGAAATTTAGATGAAAAAAAAGCGATTGTCTGGTGCTTTAACCAGATTGGTGGATATGTAGAATTCACCTGACGGAATTAGAAAACTCTACTTTAAAATGAATAGTGGATATGGACTACAGGATCCTAAGGGAACAAATGACGTTAAACCTATTGTTAGTCGCCAGCTACTAAAGGATAGCATCTCCTAACGTTGCTTTACTGCATCGTGGATGAGACATCTAGATTAAAGTCTCGAGGAGTGACTTCTTAAGTAAACCACGTGCTTCAGTTCGACCAACCGGGAAGTATTCCAGCCCTTACAAAAATTGAATAAGTATGGTATATATATATATATATATATATATATATATATATATATATATATATATATATATATATATATATATATATATATATATATATATATATATATATATATATATATATGGTGCCTTCTTGTACTAATATATTTAAATAAATGCTTTTGCATTTTGCTTTTATTCATTTATTCTTTCTACCTATAAATACTTCTTTACTACGTTGATATGAAATGTAGTAAATCATTCCCTTACCCATAGTATTTTTATATAGCTCACTAATCATTACAACTCTGCCTGGATTCCCTATGGGGGCTACTACCGTTCCCAAACCCGGGATAAAGGAGGAGGGTTGGGCATGGGGTTAGCGACCCCACCCCGTAGAAAACTAACTCGTTAAAAAAACACTAACCAAAGAATAAAGACCATTATATAGTATATCCCAGGTCAAAGAAAAAGAAAAAAAGAACAGAATGAAATTTACAAAACAACAACAATAACAACATACCTCATTGATCTTTGATTCATTTAACTTTAATGCTGAAGAATAGTCCTCCTTAGGTTGATAATTTTTCGACTTATGTAAATATTAAAACATAAAGTGAATCAAACAATAAGTTATATAAGATTAAGAGTACGGTAAAAAGTTATTAAATTATTTAAAAAGGGTCAACTAGGTCATCATCTAATAAGATGGTATTAATGTCAACAACAAAAAATGGTGGTACGTTATAAAGTACTTTAATCATTGTATTTTTAGTTGAGTTTTATGATAGCCAAAGACTCTGGAGGAACAAATGGAGTATAAACCAATCGCTGATCACCACAGTTATCATGGGACTGCATCTCCTAGCGTTGCTCCACTGCATTGTGCATCAGACCTTTAGGTTAAAGGCTCCAGATGTGGCCGCCATCTAAGAAAACCAACTGCTTCGGTTTGGGCACCCAGACGGTAGTATCACAGCCTTCATACAAATTGAGTGATTTATATGGCGCATATGTATTTGGTGCCTCCTTATATCAATATTTATGTGTTCAAATAAATCAATAAATAAATGCGATTAAAATTTGGGTTATTTAATCATTGAGCCGTTAGTCGGTTGGCTATGAATAACAATCATGTTTCTAAGTTCAACAATCGTTATTACAGAATTTTACTGAGGTCTCACTCACCACTACAGATATACAGTTTAAGAATTCCAGATAAAAAAAGGGTAAAATAGAAGAAAAGTGAGAATATACTTCACTTAAACAAAGTAAGTAATTATTCGTGTATTTAGAAACTAACATTATGATATTGTTAAGAGCAAGTTACATTTCAATTTTGAGTTAGATTGCTATAGCTTAGTGAAAGGGAAATAAGGCGAGACTCTAATTTATGGGCGACCTTTGAACGAATCTTAGGTGACCTTGAGAAATATTAGCCAATCAGCAAACAGTTAGTATAGAGTAAACAGATGTTATACAAAACCAAGGAAATAAAGTGCATAGACTTCTTATACGTGGTTCAAAAACTTGTCAATGTTAGAAAGAGATTCAGAGGTTCTAACATTATAATGCATGCAGTAGAAGAAATCATCCATACAGCTACAGAATAGTCGATCTCTGGAGTCATGATAAAGTCTCGAAAACTCTTTCAGCCTCGACCACATAGTCTCAATATTGTTTATGTGCACTCCAGTTGTTGAGTGCAAAAATATGCTACTTGTGGATAACGACACAATGCACATAACCAAGCCTATGTAGGAGTCTGTACGCTCTCCAGACATCCGAATATACTGTAGTACCTGGCTGAAGCTAGTGTTACTGGTGCTTTTATTATCCAGTTCGTAATAATTGTCGTAAATTGCCTCAGCTAGGAATTATATATGGGTTTTTCATCACGAACTGACATCAGCTATAGTGCCAGAAATTTATTTAGCCAAATGGATGAAAGGCTTTCGCGTTAAAATCCGAGATCTATTATCGTCTTATACCTAACTGTTTCATCCACAAATGATAGTCCCACCGTTTTATTTGTTATAGCCGCTCAATTATCACGTTTTGTACAAAAATCCCTGTGAACCGATCATAGCATTAAGCACTGAAGTTGGCACCGTAACCTTGAAATCTCTAAAACGCCTCTGATTGGCTCGTCCATAAGTTAGAATCTCACTGGAACTATTTTTTAATGAAATCAACTTACATCAAATGACTTCTGGATAGATTTATCATCAATAGGATTAATATTTTCAGAGGAATTCATATCCGGCGAATTGAATTCAGTCGTTTTTAATCCTATTTTTTCTTGAAGCTTAATGAATAAATCAGGTGAAAGATAATCAGCTACTAATTGATAGGCTAAACGTAAACATGTTTGATGTGACAATTGATTGGTTGATAATATTTCAGCTTCTTTGGAACCTAATTTACAGAATACAAAACATTAATGATGAAGTTTATTGATAACCATATTTTAGCCCCATAAGTAACTTATTATTGTAGTAATAAAGAAAGAAATACATATTTGTACTAAATATGCTAGTTATTAAGCCTGTTTCATCTCTTTTAAGCATAAAGGTGAATGAACAAGTATAAAATCCATCACTCCCGACCGTCGTTGCTACCTTGACGTGGTGGCCGGGCTTGCCTATCGTGATGAAGCAACCGAACTATACTGGCTAGAACAACCGTTCCTCAAGGTCCTACCATGTCAGACAGGTCGGTTGAAGAGCGGTAAGACTAAAAGTAGTAAACCCAAGGTCCGAAGGATATCCGTCTCCGGCGGTAAGGTCTCAACAAGTACGGAGCTAACACAGAAATTACCCATAAAATGGTCGTGTGTGACCGACCTCAAGCAGTTGTCCCTTGTGCACTGCGGTCACGCTCTCAGGTCACTAAGACCAACTCTAATCCAATTTCTTTTTCAGGTACCTCCAGAACAACCCTTCTACGGTGTGGGCAACCGGGAAGTGATAACCGCCCTCATACCTTTAACAGCACTCAAGACCACTGTATTCATAATCAAGAGATCCATCACTTATGCAACAATTAAATGTATCATTTTCATCTTATTAATTATTTTATCTATTTACAACTATTACATATACGTAACTATCAGTATGTAGGCTCATCTATCTATTGTGTTAAATAAATGAACTATACAAAGTAACTTAACAATTCACTTAATGGTTTGTTACCAAATCGATCAATACAAACAATGAATAGTTATTACATTCATTTATTCATCATAATTATTGGTCGCCAAATGAATCCATAATACAGTACACAATTTAATGCAAACTTTCAGCACCTTTTGTACAACATGAGTGTGGTCTACTAGTTACAGTGCAACATTTGAAATAATATCCATTTCCAAAAATTCTTTGTATCAGACTATTAACCTATTACACAATCAGATTATTCGCATTCACTACTAACAGATTAAGGTTTGTAAGTTAAAGTCGCTAGTATTAAGTACACTATGATATTGTGTAAAGTTTGTATTGAAAGTTTGTGTGAAATATAAGTAATATGGATACTTCCATAGTTGGCTACATTTGTGTTATAACTGATGGTCGATTATTATAACTGCGTCGTCAATTATTATGTTGGAATACATTACCACTTATACTTGTAAAACGAGGAACCACTGCAATTTTCACGACGCGTAAGTACAAGTGAAGATTTTTTAAACCCAAAACACGACGATGACCCTGATCGAAAATACACTCATTTATACATTAATTTGTACACCCATTTTTGATTAATAATGAGGATGAAATCACATATACGAAAAATACTTAGAGTTATAACAAGTCAGTCAGTCAGTTACAACGTAGGACCAGGCACATATATGCATCGGCCCAAACTGTCACACTTCATTAGCACAGTAAGACGAACACTGGATCCATAGAAGCAGTTAACTCAATGCTGTAATATATAAAGGGAAGATTGCATATAAGAATATAGTACAGGACGAAAGAATTAGTTCGTGGAAAGAAAGATACAATTTACGTGCTACATGTCATGCTGTGCACAATTCATGTCAAGTTAATACAAGAATACAGTATCTTATACAGAATAAAACAACACACTGTAAAACAAAACAAATACTACACTGAGCAATAAAACACTGACTTTAAACGGAAGTACTATTGAACAAAAATCACAATGAGTAGAAGAATCTGATGTTGCCTTTTTCTCCTGTCATAACAATTCGATTAAATGGATGATTGCTAACGCCTTGTGATTATTACTGTCTTAATTATTCCTTAACAAGTGGGACTGTCATGCATAAAATTTCGCCATTTTCGCAGAAGTACTGGTCATTTGGATCCAGCGAAGTACATGCTACTGGTCTAATACAAACAGTCTGTATGTCATAGCATATGAAGACAATATAACCTACATACTCTTGGATGATATATCTTTCCCTACATAACAGGTTTACACTAAAAACAAACACTTAGTTGTTCCCAGAATATAATCTATAAGAAAAATAAGGATCAAGTGATATTGATTAGCTTTGGGTACAATATGTTCGGAACAGTGAAGGGATATGGTTGTATATTTTCAATTTTGTGAAGCTATTATTGTCTTTTTATCAGTTTGGCAGAACAAGCTATTAGGGACTCGTGGAGAAATCCTGATACTTCACTCTTATCTGGAGCTTGTGCTGATAATATCTAGAAAGAATGAGTTTCACGATTAAACCAAGCTAGGAAAACAATCTACCAAAATCTTCGTGAATAAGAAGTCTTTACCTCCAATCTACCATAATTTCGTTAATGAGAGTTATACTTTTAGATAAGGAGTTTCAAAATTGGCCTGTTAGACTAGTAACAAGCAGTATTAAAAAGGAAAAATGCAACGGTTAGTAGTGTGAAACACACTTGTCAAATCCACTAAATTATATAGAGTAGACAGCATTTTAACAACACGCTGAGACATCCTAAGATTGTTAATTAGTATCACATGTACTTTAAACAATTTGGCTTCGTAAACCAGTGAGTACCACAAATTAGAACAAAATTACTAATTGGCTATACGAGTTGAAGTACCTCGTTTGAGTTAAATAATGTCTGGGTTTGGTTACGCTTATTTAGGGATAAAATTCACTGACTGACGTTTAATTGTCCTATTGACCGTTGTATATTTAGTCACGAGAGGATTTGGTGTGAAAAAATGAAAGGGAGGTTTAAACCGTAGTTAAAAATGCGACAAAGAAATTATTTGTGGATAAAACAACAAAAATTTTGAAAAACCCTTACTAGAAGTAAATTCTGGAACCCGTGAATCTTCACTTTTTCCATCGTACTGATCAGAAGACGAACTAGTAGCAATTAATCGAAGCTGAGAAACTAAAACAGGATTCTTGCAGTTGAAGGAAGCCTTATAAACAGCAGATACTCTATTCGACAACCACTCGATCGCCTTAGATTCATTTAACCGATAAACAGATAAACTACCAATACCTTCGAAGAACAAATGGTCAAGATACATAAGCATTGTCAATACAGGTTCATAATTTGTAGTTTGTGAACTAAAACAGTTTTTCTGGTTTACTTTATAAATGCGCTCCGGTATGCAATAAACCCGAATGAAATACACACTATGTAACATATATTTTCGACTAGCCATTAAATGCAGTACGAACCTCAACAAACAAAATGCGATAAACTTTAACCCTTTACTATTTCTCAGTTATACGTTCTGTTTTCGAATTTCTAAGAATGAAAGATTCGGATTCTAGATCCACTATATTTCCACATATTGTTGATTAATGGAAATAGGCAAAAGGAACCAATGACATAGATGCACTAGACTTTCCAGGTTCAATGAAGAGGTGATTATCAAGAAGTCACACGACTTTAACTGGGATTTGGGATCCGATGTATCTAATCTGATTTAGCGGCTATATAGTGTAAATAACCCTCGAACAAGCGTATATCAAGCATAGGCCCCTGAACTTATAATTATTTACTATGCAACAGAGAAAACAGTGTCGACATCAGCCCGTCATTATAACTCTCGATAAAAATGTGAGGAAAAACTGCCACCGAAGTCTCTGTTATGGCCGAGAATCGGGTGGGCCCGCCATCCCTCTCGAAATGCTCTCACATGGCCACGCGTATACAGCTTCTGCCAGGGAAGTCCTACTCACTAGCTTCTCGCACCAAGGGTGTTGTTTACGAAATTGAGAGGACGAAAAGTGAATGTCCGGCGCTTTAACCGGATCCCAAACCAATGGTGGACATGGGCTCCAGTATCCTGAAGGAACAAATGGCGTATGAACCAATCGTTGGTCACCGGCTACCATGGTACTGCATCTCCTCACAGTGCTCCATTGTCTTGTGGGTCAGACCTTCAGGTTAAAGGCTCAGGGTCTGGCACCCTAAGAAAACTACCTGCTCCGGTCTGGACACCCGTGCAGTATCACGGCCAACAGCGCCATCTGGCTGCGAAAGGTCGGATCTACAACGCGTCGGTGGGAGTAGTTTTGCTCTATGCTTATGAACCCTGGCCTCTCCGAGTTGAGGATGTTAGACGACTCTCTGTGTCTGATCATCGGTGTCTCCGAAGGATTGCTGACATCTAGTGGCAACACCATGTTAGTAATATAGAGGTTCTGCATCATGTGTTACGGCACAGAGACGATAATCTAATTGGTGTCACCATCTTGGAACACCGACTTTGGTGGCTTGGACATGTTCTACGAATGTCGTCCCAAAGAATTCTACGTCGTGCATTATTTGTTGACGCTGAGACTGGTTGGAAAAAGTGGAGAGGTGGTCAGTGTATGACATGGTGTCGTGGTATGAAAGAAAGCTGCAAAGGGCTGGCTTGTGTTGGTCCTTCACAACTCCTTGACTGGGATTCTAGAGATGAAGCAACATAGTGGCTAGGGAAGCCAGTGGTAATCCTTCTGTAACGTTCGTTTACCTTCTTCATAAAAAATGGTTGTATCTTCCTTAACTGAAAGGTTTCCTCTGGTTTTACTTTTCCGTTTCCCCCATTATTATTATTATTATTACACTACCTTACGCTAATCTGTCCGTTATTGTTCTTTTTAACGCTCCTTACCTTTGTTCTCTTCGAATTATCATTGTTTTGTGCGGCGCATATGTATTTGGTGCCCTTTTGTACCAATGTGTTCAAATAAATAGAGAAAAACTAAGTAGATGCGAGATAATCTTGGCTACATACAAAAATCCAAGAAGAAAAAGTACTCAAAGCATAAACTACACGAGATAGGATGGATGAAATCCACTAAGATTCAGTATTTGAGTACATATTCACAATACACACGATTCACGAAAAGACAGACTTTAACATGATACACCAACTAATACAATGAATACAGGAATTTTTCATAAGTCTCTCTAGAACTAAAACCCTGACCTTACGACAACTTACGAGACTAGTGCATAGTGAACAAACTGATATCAAGCATACCTACAAATGGTACGAGAACAAAAAGTATTAAAAATGACCTGATTATGGTGTGTAAAAAACCATGTACAGTAACTGTATCTAGTAATTCTTATGAAGAACAATTTTTTAAAGATGGCCATGACTCATGGTGATAATAAAGACTTACACCTTTTGTCACAAATTTCTTCAAGACGACTTTCCATGTTGGGAATGTTGCTGAAGACATCGAAACATCCACCAATTTCACTCAAAATAGCATCCCATGAAATAAACTTGTCCTAGAAATGTAATTCTCTAAAGTTGAAAGACAAACATTTTTTCTGCAGAATGATATGAAGAAGAAGAGAGGGTCAATGCGACTACAAACGTACATTCCACCATCTACATGTCTTCATATGACAAATATTTAAATATATATACCAGATTTGATATTTTCACCAAGCATCCAAGACCGACATTTTTCGTCAATTTTCTGAATTTCAAAAAGCTCTGAAGACTGACTATCCCACAGATACAAACAAGGTAAATCTAGAAAGGTTACGATGCCCAAGTCTATCCAAAGAATCACCGTCCTACCTGATCTTGGATGTTTTAGTCTAATTAAAGAACACTTTGAAGGCTGACATGTAACGCTATCTACGGACATATATAACAGCTATGAGAGAAGGTACCTGGAATTACGAACACAGAACTACAATCATGCATTTCAAACCACACGGTAGCGTGAAATTGAAATCAACCCCTTAATGCTTCAGCGACCTTGACCAGCCTTCATCAAGGCAGTCACTTCATATTTGTCGGCTACATCACTGTGGTATTTAAAAATGGTTCAAAGTGGTTATGGATAAAACAGAAGAAAAACTTGATTAACAGGCTTTCGTATTTAGTAACAGTGGATCACAGATGCCGCTACGTAAGAGCCTAGTAATATTTAACGATAAAAGATAAAAACACTGGTAAGTTGTGTTGAAGTACTGTGTTTGGTTCTTAAGAACGTAGCGGTAAATAAATCCCAAAAACAAATAGATCTGCAAGTCTTCGTTATTGGATGCTGATCACATTACTTTTAATGGACTCATCTAACTGAAGGCTCTCGGTCATGCATCCGCACCAGATCACGAGTGGTAACGCTGTGCTCAACATCTACCGCAATCGCTAGCCAGATTGGATCAGAGAATTCCGATATATTGGTTATCGCCAAATACACTCTTCCGATCTCCTCGACTCTGTCTTTTGATTTCTCTCGGTGGGAACAAAGTATATTAGAAGGTGTTACTGGTAGAAGCGTTTTCAAACACTGAATACCTGTATCATCCTCATTGGTGAGACCGTCGTGATCTGGTACACCTAATTGCAACTGTGAGTCTGTTCCTTTTTGAGATTTTTATATATCATTGCCTTATTTTTTTTAACATTGTGAATTTTTTTCGTGTTTTTTCTTGGATTTATATATTTTTCCCCCTCGTTCATTATCGTACTTCATATTTCATCATGGCTGGACAGACACCCAAAGTACTCAAACTTAAGACTTTGTCCCCGCCTTCGTTTCAACTGATGCTTTTCTGGCCCGACAATATCGAAGCTTGGCTCTGCTACGCAGAAGCCGACTTCTCCGAGCACGGCGTGATCGACACACGTGCACAATTCCTCACAGTAGTCAAGGCACTACCGCGCGAATTCAACAGGTACGTAACACCTAGTATGTTTACTAGTGATGTTTCCGAACCTTACGAAATCCTAAAACGTTCGATTCTTAAACGAGGAGACCTAACCGATCGACAAAGGTTAGATCAACTCTTCAATAACATCGACCTGCAACACGGTTCTGCGACGGACATGTTGCAACGAATGAGAGAAGTGATTGGCCTAAGAACCTTCGACGAAGGCCTGTTTAAACAACTTTTCTTGTCTAAACTTCCTCGACAGGTGCAAGCGGTTCTGGTCTCGTTTCAGAGAGACGGATAACCCCGACTGGTGCTGGTATCATAACCAGTATGGAAATTCTTCCAGAAATTGCAGAAAACCCTGCAATTTTCCAAAAACGAAAACGACTGACTCGAAAAACAACTCGGGAAACTTCCAAGCCGGCACGCGTTAACGGCCACCGTAGCCGGCGAACATAGTCGTCTGTTGTACGTCACAGCTGTGACAACGAGAGTTCGCTACCTCGTCGACACTGGCGCAGAAGTTAGCCTTCTCCCGGCAAATCGTAACTACCGGCTCCACGAGTCGGCTCTAAACTTACAGGCGGCAAACGGAAAACCGATCGCTACGTATGGCAAAAGGTACGTTTACCTTAACGTGGGTTTACGCAAACCCATTCATTGGATTTTCGTTGTTGCAGATGTTTCTATGCCAATCATTGGTATGGATCTTCTACAACACCATAATCTAATCATCGACACGCGCAAACGGAGGCTAGTAGACGGAAACACTAATTTATCCGTTTGCGTAACCTTGTAGTGGCATTGGACCATAACCACACAATCCTCAAAGCTGAATACGAGATCACTCAGAAAATAGATATTCAATATTTAACGCGAAGAAATACCTAACGATGGAGATGGCGCGACTAAGGAATTGAAAAGACTAGAGTTGATCGAACGGCATGGCTCGGCCATGCAGGCGTGGTCTCTGCTGAATGTTACCTTATATCTTCTTTTCATATTAAATATATTGTTCTTTCTCTAGCCTAACCTTGTTCTACATCATGTATTGGTAATTGATACGATACAGTGAGTTGGTGTAGTTGATGGTGTGACTTCCACGTAAGATCTTATAGATTAGGCAGTCATATCATGACAAATCCACAGATTTAGGATTAGGTTTATTATTAGAGCAGTACTAATATCATAGTAGACCATAAGTTCTACAACCTCATTTACTGGTTGTAGATTATCCCCAGTCACAGTTAAGCATATGATAGACCCACTCTATCAACCACTGCTCGATAAGTACCCTGATATACAACAAACTCAACCGAAACTACCGTGCGTAACCATCAATGTTACACATCACATCACGATTACAGGACCACCTGTATTCTCTAAAGCATGACGACTAGCTCCTGAAAAGCTAATGTTAGCGAAAAACGAATTCGATCACATGATAGACTTAGGAATCATACGACCGTCAAACAGCCCTTATGCATCTCCGTTGCACATGGTCCCTAAAAAGGACAGCAACGATTGGCGTCCAACTGGTGACTATCGGCGATTGAATGCAAAAACCATTCCCGATCGTTACCCGTTGCCTCACATTCACGATTTGACAGCTACCTTGAAAGGTACAACTGTCATTTCAAAAATCGACTTGGTTAAAGCGTATAACCAAATCCCTATGGCTACTGACGACATACCGAAAACCACCATCATTACTCCCTTCGGACTCTATGAATTTTTGCGAATGCCTTTCGGTCTAAGAAACGCTGCGCAAACATTCCAAAGATTCATAGACAACGTTTTTCGAGGTCTCAACTTCGTACATGCGTATGTTGATGACTGCCTAATCGCAAGTCCGGACAGTGAATCACATCTCAAGCATCTGGATCTTGTTTTCGAACGATTACAAAAACATGGCATTACTGTAAACGTTCAGAAATGCCAATTCAGAACCGACTCGTTAGATTTCCTAGGACACACTATCGATGCTCAAGGCATCCGACCTCTTAGGACCAAAGTGGCGACCATTCTGGATTACCCAGAACCAACCAACGTCAAGCAATTACGCACGTTTAACGGCCTGATAAGTTTCTATAGACGCTTCATACCGAAATGCGCATTCCTTATGAAACCTCTTACCGACCAACTTTGTGGAAATGCGAAATCCATTAATTTGGACGACACCGCACGAAAAGCATTCACCACAGTCAAGGAACTGATCGCTAAAGCAACAATGCTCGCACATCAAGACACCAAAGCACCCATTAGTATCGCAGTAGACGCATTCGACTCGGCAATCGGAGGAGTCTTACAACAATGGGTTAACAACTCCTGACAACCCTTGACATTTTTCTCTAGGCGGTTGCTAGACACCGAATCGAGGTACAGCACATTCAGTAGGGAACTCCTAGCTATGTATTGTGCTGTACGGCATTTCCAACACTATATCGAAGGCCGTGAATTCACTTTTTTCACGGACCATAAACCGCTCACTTTCTCGTTAAGCTCTCCTTCTGACAAGTACTCTCCCCGTGAGTCTCGACAACTGGACTACATTTCGCAGTTTACTTCAGATATTCAACATATTTCTGGAGCAAACAATGTAGTTGCAGACGCCTTGTCTCGAATAAATTCCTTGAACAGTTTCCAAGGAATCGACCTTCTTAAACTCGCCCAGCTTCAAAAAGAAGGCACTGATCTTCAGCACGAGTTATCGTCCACAACCCTTAAACTACGCATCAAACAGATGGGAACAGATAAAGAAACCTTACTTTGTGACACATCTACAGGTAGGGATCGCCCAATCGCCCCGAAACATTATCGACGCAATGTCTTCAATACATTGCACAAACTTTCTCATCCAGGCGTTCGTGCAACCATCAAGCTTATAGCAGAGCGGTTTTGCTGGCCTGGTATGAATAAAGATGTGAGGTAGTGGGCACGCTCCTATGTAAGCTGCCAAAAATCTAAGGTGATCAGACACAATAAATGTCCCTTAGGCTCATTTAAAACTCCCGATGCTCGTTTCGACCACGTTCATCTGGATTTGGTAGGACCTTTACCAGATTCAAATGGATACTCTTACCTCTTAACCTGTGTAGATCGTTTCACTCGATGGCCAGAAGCAGTACCTATCAAGGACATCACTGCTGAAACAGTGGCCCGCACTTTCGTCGAACGATGGTTAGCAACCTTCGGTTGCCCTTCAACCATCACTACAAACCGCGGACGTCAGTTTGAGTCTGAACTTTTCCGTCGTCTGACCACACTATTAGGAAGCACTCGCTTCCGAACGACCGCCTACCACCCACAAGCAAACGGGTTGGTAGAACGTTTTCACCGACAACTAAAAGATTCACTACCAGCTGCAAACGTTTCACAGTGGACCGACGCTCTTCCACTCGTCCTACTAGGTGTCCGCAACGCAGTGAAAGCTGACATTGGATACACTGCAGCTCAACTCGTTTATGGAACGACACTTCAACTTCCAGGAGAATTCGTGGATCCTTCATCCTCTTCAATGAACATGGATATAACCTCCTACACAAACAGGCTTATAAACGCAGTGCGTTCAGTTAAACCTGCTTCCACTCGACCACAATCCACCGATGTTTTCGTTCAACCTGACTTACGATATAGTGCACACGTTTTCGTTCGTCGAGACTCACATCGACGACCATTTGAACCAGCATATGAAGGACCTTTCAAAGTTCTTCAACGCGAATCTAAGTACTATATAGTCGACAAGAACGGAACAAACGATAGCATCAGCATCGATCGTTTAAAAGCAGCGTATTTAGAAGGAAATCGTATTCACGTCGATTTTCCTTCGGTACAATCGCACAACACGACTCCCACACTCATAATTCCTCAACCAACAACCAACACTAGCGATGACACTCCGAATGTGTCTGAAAATAAACTTAAAACGACGCGTTCTAGAAGAAGAGTAAGATTCCCAGAACATTTAAAAGACTATTGCACGTAAGGCACTACTCGAAATTTTATATTATCTCGATCTTCCTTTTTACGATATATAAAAAAAATTTTTTTTTAAAACAATTTTAATATGCTCATATATTTTTATTTACAAAAAAACAAAACAAAAAAATCAAAATATGTGCTT